AAAAAGGGTCCCAAAACAGACGAACTTGAAGCCTTATTGGGGGGGGGGGGACATCTTAAGGCTTATCAAGGCAGACATGCACTTTACTTGAATAAATTATTAGTAATCCTCAGAAGCCCCCTTCATGTATCATCCCCATGGTCCAAACAGGTAGGTCCACCTCTGTTTTTTATATGTTACTATGATCCTTTGAGATGTAGGAAGCCAAGAGATCACAGGATTGGAGGAACTATGTGACATTGGCCATTGCCAGAAGTGCGGCTTCAAAGCCCCTTTTTTGGGGGTTTTCCTTTAGTGCTAGTAATGTGTGACAAAATCTTAAGTTGCATGTAGATAAAACTCTTTGTGAGTTATGGCGTGATGTTATTTGAGCCCACACTTAAGGGGGAAAGGCATACAACTCTCTCTCCATCTACATTCAATTTCTGCTTTTCATCTGTTGTTTTGGCTGATAGCTGTTAGATTTCAAAATGGTATACAGTGGTGCCTCGCTTAACGATTTTAATTGGTTCCAAAAAAAACATCGCTATGTGAAAACATCGTTAAGCGAAACACCATTTCCCATAGAGATGCATTGAAAACCAGATAATCCGTTCCAGTTTATCAGCCCCATGGTCCAAACAGGTAGGTCCACCTCTGTTTTTTATATGTTACTATGATCTTTTGAGATGTAGGAAGCCAAGAGATCACAGGATTGGAGGAACTATGTGACATTGGCCATTGCCAGAAGTGCGGCTTCAAAGCCCCTTTTTTGGGGGTTTTCCTTTAGTGCTAGTAATGTGTGACAAAATCTTAAGTTGCATGTAGATAAAACTCTTTGTGAGTTATGGCGTGATGTTATTTGAGCCCACACTTAAGGGGGAAAGGCATACAACTCTCTCTCCATCTATTTATTTATTTATTTATTTATTTTATTTCTATCCCGCCTATCTGATCATATTAGACCACTCTAGGCGGCTTACAGTAAAAACATTCTACATTCAATCTCTGCTTTTCTTGTGTTGTTTTGGCTGATAGCTGTTAGATTTCAAAATGGTATATAGTCTTTCTTGCCATTTGTATCCTCTATGTACTACTTCAGAGAGTCTTGATTTTCATTTCAACAAAACTGGAATAAAATGTTTGCAGGGTTGGCCTTAAAAATGGAGAACGTTAATCTTGCCTTACATTGTAGCAGTCTTCAGTGATAATTCATGGTATGCTGTAAATGTTGTTTTTTAATATTGTGTAAGTGGAGAAGAATATATCTTAAACTGGTCGGCTTTTTGTATAAAACATGGCACATAACCTTTTTTAATTTTTTTGCTTCTAACCTCTCCTTAAGCTATTCACTGAACTGGAGATTTATTTATTACATTTGTACCCCAAGCATCTAGTGGCAAGCTACTACTCTGGGCAGCTAACAACACATAAATCACCCACCCACCAACAGAAAACTCCCAAATCATAAAAACAAGAAAAAAGGAGAAGTCTCTCAAAGCACGGCAAACTAAATTCAACTACAGTCATACAAAACAACAAAATCATGGGGGGATGTTTCTGAAGCCCTCCTTTAAAGGTTAAATTTTATATGTTTCCTGAAGGCCAAGAGGGAGGGAGCCTGGTATACAGTGGTACCTCGCTTAACAATTACCTCGTTAAATGACAAAACCACTTTACGATGAAGTTTTTGTAATCGCTATTGGATCTCAAAACGATGTTCCTATGGGGAAAATTCGCTTAACGATCGGTTCCCTGCTTCGGGAACCAATTTTTCGCTAGACGACGATTTTAAAACAGCTGGTCGGCGGCTCTAAAATGGCTGCCTGCTGTGCAAAATGGTTCCCCGCTGTGCTTTAGGACAGATTCCTCGCTTTACAGGCACTGGAAAATGGCCAGCCTATGGAGGATCTTCACAAAACGAGCAGGTATTTCACCCATTGGAACACATTGAACCAGTTTTCAATGCATTTCAATGCCTTTTTTAATTTCGCTTGATGAGAATTTCGCTTAACAGCGATTTGAACGGAACAAATTATCCTCGTCAAGCGAGGCACCACTGTATGGCCATAATGTTGTGGCCATCACAAAAAAGCCCCAGTTCCTGGTGGTAGGTTTCTGGGCTTCTCTTGAAGTGACCCCCCTAACTGTGAAGGCCAGGTAGACAATCTTAGGGAAGGTCATTCTTGACTGGTAGTGTGGTTCCAAAAGAGAAAATCTTTATTTGTGCAGGGATTCCACCACTGGACTTAAATTTGTCTTCCTTAGAGGCAAGGTTTGCCAGGGGAGCTTTGGGTAGGTGCTTGATCTCTTCCTGGTTCCCAAACTGGTATCTCTTCAGGAAGCACATGGAATAAAATTCAGTCTCTTATTTATGTCTTATTTTATGACTTCAAAATATAGTGTCAGACTATTAGTTGAACATGTAACCAGAGTTACATTCTTTGTAATGGGAGGGGGGAGCTGAGCCTCCTCTTTCAGAAGATTTAGCCTTGCCCTTGAGCTTCTGCCCACATGTGTCCCAAGTCCATTGATTCATAGGGCTGTGCAGTGGTTGTGTCTCACTGTGAAAGACACAGAGATAGTCAAGAAAGGAGTCTGTCTCCTCCAAGGATGTGAGGTTTTCCCCTTGAGCATTTGGCAAATTGGCATGGAAACAGATGGAGTGAGATTGCCATCTCTGGGACTACAGCTGAATGACATCTCCTGTTGAAAGGCTCTCAAATAGCAAGCAAAGCTGAAAATGTGAAAGGAGCTGCTGCTAGTCAGAGTAGACAAACTAATGCTTCATTGTGTGTAAAATAGTGTTGCCATTGTGTAGACCTGACTAGAGCATTGCAAACTCTTGAACTTCAGTGAAGCTTCTCAGAACACATCAGTAAGTGAGGTTTTGACAGAGAGTTAACTTGTGTCTCTTTTTTTTTTATTGGAAGGTGGTGCTCCCCCTCCAACGGTTAGCCAGGCTGCTCCTGTGACTCTTCCTGGAAATCTTCCTTCTAGCAGTCCATATACAATGCCCCCTGAGCCTACCTTGTCTCAAAACCCTCTCTCCATTATGATGTCCCGGATGTCCAAGTTTGCAATGCCCAGCTCGACACCACTTTACCATGACGCTATCAAGACTGTAGCTTCCTCAGATGACGACTCTCCCCCAGCACGTTCCCCAAACTTGCCACCAATGAACAACCTTTCAGGTAAAAAACAAGTACTTCAGGGGTGCCATGTCAAAGAACCAACACAACCACATTCTACCTTTGTGTCTGCAGGAAAGGATTTCATAGGTAGAAGTTGATAGAACTGTAATTCACACATGTAATTTAATATTAATATACCTGTTGCAGTGGAGATGCACTGGACATGGGGTTCAGTGTGCTGAGATAATGAAAAGCATATGCTGCAGTAACCAGTGTTTACTTGGAGGCTGTTTTTATAAGCATTTATGGAAATTAGTATGTTTTTCTTTTTTACAAGCAGCCTGACTTTTAAAAGATTTTCTTCTTGTAGCAGAGGACATAAAATGAAAAGGATTGAGAACCACTGTTTTAGAGGGCCCTGCCCTGTCCATATGAATTACATACTCTAGAATTGTGTCTTGAAAACATTCATGCCAAAGGTGTTTAACTTGTGTGGTCTTTCAGAAGTAGCTGGATTGCTTTCCCATCATACTTCACAGTGGGCTGGGCTTGATGAGTCACTAGAAGACCACAGGTTGCCCACCTGTGCTATAGAATTTAGCAGATGTCTTTACCATGATCAACTGTTCTGGCACACAGATATGCCAGAAACATCTACTTAAGTGTTGTCTTAACAAAAGTATGTTGAAATACAGAGTCTGAAATAATAGAAAAAAACTGAAGGTGTTGGAACTGTTTTTACATAGTACTACATATGGGACTTTTAGGGCAGTTATGAATAGTCTTCAATTCAACCTAGAATTCTTGTAGAAAAGGATTTTGCTTTTGTACATCTTCAACAAAAATAGTGTCTTTACCTAGGTTGCTCTAATATTAAAAATATATTTTCTTTTGTCTCCAGGAATGGGCATTAATCCCCCAAATCCTCGTGTTTCAGGTCCTAACCAGGCAGGCCCAATGCCAACTCTTAGCCCAATGGGAATGACACAGCCTCTAACTCACAGTAACCAGATGCCCTCTCCAAACACTATGGGACCCAGTATACCTCCTCATGGGGTCTCTGTGGGACCTGGCCTGATTCCACACAATCCAATGATGGGCCATGGTTCCCAAGATCCACCAATGGTACCTCAAGGACGCCTGGGCTTCCCACAGGGCTTTCCTCCAGTACAGTCCCCTCCCCAGCAGGTGCCATTTCCACATAATGGACCTAGTGGTGGACAAGGCAATTTCCCAGCTGGAATGAGCTTCCATGGTGAAGGACCACTGGGGCGTCCCACCAGCATGCCCCAAAGTTCAGCGGATCCAGCACTTTGCAAGTCTGGAGGTCCTGGGGGACCAGACACTTTCACTGTCCTAGGAAACAACATGCCTTCAGTTTTTACTGATCCGGAGCTGCAAGAAGTGATTCGCCCTGGAGCTACTGGGATACCAGAATTTGACCTGTCCAGGATTATTCCATCCGAGAAGCCTAGTCAGACACTACAGTATTTCCCTCGTGGGGAAGTGCCAGGCCGTAAGCAGCCACAGGGTGTTGGGCCTGGCTTTTCCCACATGCAGGGGATGATGGCAGAACAGAATCCAAGAATGGGGCTGGCATTACCTGGCATGGGAGGCCCAGGGCCAGTGGGCACACCTGATATTCCTCTTGGAACAGCATCATCCATGCCAGGCCATAACCCCATGAGACCGCCTGCTTTTCTGCAACAAGGGATGATGGGACCTCACCATCGAATGATGTCACCAGCACAAACAGCAATGCCTGGCCAGCCTACACTGATGAGTAACACAGTAGGTATGATTCCAGGCAAGGACCGTGCTCCTGCTGGGCTATACAGCCACCCAGGACCTGTGGGTTCGCCTGGTATGATGATGTCAATGCAGGGCATGATAGGACCCCAACAAAACATCATGATTCCCCCACAGATGAGACCCCGGGGCATGGCTGCTGACGTAGGAATGGGAGGATTTAGCCAAGGCCCTGGCAACCCAGGGAACATGATGTTTTAAGCTGCTACATAAAGACTGGATGGTTCCAATCCTTGTTGAGATGAGATTCCAGGTCCTGAGGGCTGCCTGAAAGCTCCAGGAGCACAATTTGGCCATGCAATAGGTGAAAACAGACCAGAGGATGCTTTGGGAAATCTCGAATGTATGGAAATACCTGAAAACAAATGAATTCATTTTAACAGGTTGTTTTTTTAAGATTTATTTTTTAAAAATTATTTTTGTGTACTTGGGTATCCTGTGATGGCACCTGCTTTGAGAATCTGTAGCTGTATTTTGAGAATTGCCATTTGTCACAAGTTGCACCATTCTCTGTATGTTTACGTCCTTTGGACTGGCTTCTCCCAGGACTCTGTTATTTTGGGGGGTTATTTTTGTGTACTGTACTATATTGTAAAAGGGATTTTAGCAGAGACTTTAGTCTTTGGGGTGAGAGGCTGTTTACTTTTAGGTGGAAAATCCATCTTCAGAACTTCGGACTATTTTCCTTCAACTCCAATGTATAGAAAAACCAAACTACGACCTCAGAGCAGAGTATTAATGAAAAGCACAAAAGGAACTTAAGTTCAGTGAGGGGGAATCTTTAAAAAAATAAGTTAAGGACATATTTTTCAAATTATGGAGTGCTGCTCAGCACTTTTTGTCTCTCCCTCCCACTCTTTAAAAAAAAAAAAGCTTCTTGGTCCTCCCCACCCCTTTACTGTCTCCTCTGGCAGCTGCAATACATTGTATTATTTTGGGGAGCATATCTAGGAGAGCCCTTCTCATGCTGGGAGTGTTGCCACTTTCAGGAAGAGGCTGGACTTGGACACTGTTACATTCTACAGTAGTCTTACTGTTTCTTATTATCCTTTTTCTTAGAACCCCCCAAGTGACTTTATTAATGTGGGAGTGGAACAGACACTAAAAGTTATCCTGACTTTTTTGTGGCTTTTTTTTTGTTCCCCAGCGTAAAACGTTCTGTGTAACCTCCATTAAATTTGGTACAAAACCACTTGCCAGGGCTGTGGTGTCAGAAAAAATAAAATATATTGTTTCTTACAAAATGCATTTTTATTTCTCTTTTGCCATAATCCAGGGTGGTTCCGTTTGCTTCCTATCTCAGGTTGCCTCTTGCACCTGGGTTAAGAGTGTATGGATAATATTGATTTTATCTGAAAGCATTTCTGAGTAAAGTTTTGGCTTCCAATGAGAAGCATGTTGACACTAGTTGGTACAACTTAAGCCATGTTCCCATTATTACAACATGAAGCACTTACGGAGGTCCTGCTTTCATCATAGAGGTGAACTGATCCTGACACTGGAAGAAAAGCAGCTGCTCAAACACAATAAATGTATATGCAGCAGTAGTAGTAGTGTAGGCGTGCCTAAGAGTGCCAAGGAAAGAAGTCAACTTCTGGGTCACGATAGCTATATGTGTTTTGAACTGAGGAGACAAATTTTTCCTCATCATATCAGTGCATTCCCATATCAGTCCTTGCAGATAAACAAGTCTCAGAGACCAACAGGTAGCCTTCCCACCACCACTTTTATAGCATAGCTGCCCAACTGGGTTGCGGGGAAAAATCTTGAGAAACCCTCTGTCTTGAAGGAAGCTGCACAGGAAATACCCAGAAGCAGTGGCCATCTTTGTCTACAGTAGTGGGGCAAAGTGTGGTCTTAAGGCTAGTTATGATACCTCAAATCTATTTTTGCAACCCTCTCCCTGCCAAGTGAATTGACATCCTCAATTTTCCAGGAGCAGCAGCTCACCTATTAAACTAATTATATTAAACACACAAAACCAGCCCCTTCTATTTTCTTTGTATCTCCCCCTGCCCCTCTCCTTTTTTTCCCCTTCAATCCATAGAGCCTGGAGAGGATTCCCAGACAGATTAGTTACAGAAAAACTACCAAAGTTGCCTCCCCCTACAGCATACAATATACAGAATGAAATGAGTACTTTTATATTTTGTGGTCTTAGTATAACTTTACTGTTCATAGGCAGAGCATCAGCAGATCTTCTAGAAGTAGCAAATCTTTAAGACCTTCTACAGGGAGAAATTTTTAAAAAGGTGAAAAATAGAATGTTTTTTAACCTAGTAATTTTAAGTAAGACTTTTTCTCTGGAGTGGGAATTCAGAATGAGACTGTCATTTGCCATTTTCTTACCTAGAAAACTCTTCTGGACCTAGCTTTCATTTCCTGGGAGTGATTTTGCAATACATTACAGTACAGTTACTGCTCTACTGTATCAAGTAGGTTCAACATCTGTTTATATTGAGGGAGAAAGCATCACAGGAATGTGAACTCCTCTAAATGAACCTACTCAAAGCTGTTACGAGTTTTTTAATTCAGATATTAGGCTTATGCTTAACTACATTTCTGAACTTAACCATGGCTGAGCTGTTTATTCAGAGTTGTTCAGTGTAAGACCCTTCAGCATCTTCTCCTTCTGTACAAAACAGAAATCCTAAACTGGCCTTGTAGGAGTTGTAATGCTAAAAAGGTAAGGGTTATACTTCACAAATAGGCACAAACTTAAGAGATTAGTGCTACCATCTTTAGAGGCAGCTGAAGCATCTGAAAGTTCATGTGAATTTGCTGTAACCCCAGACTACATAGGTAGCAGCTATTTAGAGTCCCCAGTGAATATTCGTCTGCCTTTGACATTTAACAGCTTTGGAATTAGTTCTATTAGCATTGCCTGCTGCCCTCCCTAACAGCTGTATGTCTGGCCCTTAACACTAACAAATGTGCCCAGCTGTTCTTGTAATTGCTTGTATCTAGTTTCGTTCCTTCCAAACTTGCAACAGCCAGCATCTTTACTTTCTTTTGTATTTCAGCTAACTGTACTATTCCACAATGGCTTCTGTTAAATCAAGTTATTTTTAACTGTTCTAAATTCAGCTGTTTAAAGCCACAATTATGATATTTACTTGCTAGCAACTTGGTGTAGCCATGCCTACTCTCCATCCCTTATACCTAAGGGGACTGTTGAAGGTTTACCATAAGAGATGTGTGGAACTCCTAACGGCTATAGTGCTTAAACAGCAGCAAATCAGCATAGCAATTCTAGATCCAAAGTAAGTTCCATGTGTGTTGTTAGTCCTATCCTTAGTACCAAAACATTCAGTTTGGAGGTTCATGACAACAGTTTGAGCCAAAATCCTATCCTCTGTAACTACACACAGACATAGTGGTCCTTGTTGAAGACTACTTTGCATGCCCTTATACACATAGAAGCCCCATTTTCAACCAGGTAGTCACCATCTTGCGCAATTGTGAGCCGGAGATCATGCAGGGTATGTCAAAAGCTACAAATAAACAGCTGGAAAATGAAGTGACTACTACTCTGGGCAACCACCACCAGAATTTGCTATTGCCAATGATGTTCATCCTCAGCATGACACATTTTCATTCAGTCACATAAGCGTGTTTCCCCAAACAGGAAAGATTCACCTCCCTTACTAAGGCAAACTATGTGCTATTATGTTACTTTAACTTCGAAGTTGAACCACAAGTGGCTGTTGCTTTGATTTTATGGTATTCAGAAAGAAGAAATTACAACATAATTAGCTGCTGCTAATCAGTTATCTGTTAAAAGTGCCTATGTCTGGGAACAAAGCATTTTATATTCCTCTGGCTTTATGCTATAGACTGAAAGGGCATGCAGAAAGTCCTCCAGTGGACAGAGACCAGCTCTGCATCCTTGTGGAACCACCTCCTGAAAGAAAAACAGATCAGATTACAGAACGGTACATGATAAGCATTACTTATCATGGGAGGGGAAAAAATGAAATAGTGTGCAATGAAAGTGAGAAAGACTGCAACATGCCAAATACACTAGTGCTCCTGTTGTATCTCGACCTTGGCAGCTACCCTGTTTCCCCTAAAATAAGACCTAACCTGAAAATAAGCCCTAGTATAATTTTTCAGGACGCTCCTAATATAAGCCCTACCCCTAAAATAAACCGCAGTTAGGTGAAACCCCGCCCTCCACCATTGTGCAGCAACCGGAAGACGACATGTAGATGTAGATTGCTGTACATAAAAAAATCTCCTGGAAATAAGCCTTAGAGCATTTTTGGAGCAAAAATTAATATAAGACCCTGTCTTATTTTTGGGAAAACACAGTATTCTGATTGGAAACCAGGAGCTCAACATCACGTCCCAGCCTTCTTTGCAACAATAGTGCCCGCCTGACAAAGGGACTAAAGTTGTTTTTTAATCATCTAGGTGAAAGAATCTGAAGCTGATAATAAGAGATCCCACATACTAGATTCAGTAAGCTGCTGGATCTGTTACAGGCTTGAGTATTCACATGAAGCATAAATCAAGAACTTGGTATCTACAACCTGCCCAGCTCTCAGCCAAGGCCACATAGTAGAGCAGTAAGAGGGGAGTCCATACCTCTCCATTATAGGTCAACCGTATAAACCAGTCTTTGGAATGCTGGTAGAGCTCCAATGTTATGTCTGCAGCATATGGTGGCCATTTGGAATTAAAGACTCCCAGAGCTATCAGCAGTGGGAAGAGAGTAACATCATGGACAGCATACAGAATGAGTTTCCTACATGGACACATGAGATAAACAAAGTTCAGTATTAAGTTAGCCACAAGAACATATATAGTGTATGAGCAATCAGTCGTCTTCAGTTTGTCTATTTGCATGCATATCAACTCTGTTGGTAGTGTCTTGTCTTATCAGCACATTTTTGACTAAATTAAGAACATTTTGCACCAATGGGTTTTCATCTCTCTGGATTTTGCACTCAAGAGCCTCACTGTATGTCTTTATCTGAAACTTCCTATGTGTGCTACACAATGTTTAAGATACTGAAGTTTATTTTAGGTTGCTTGCAAACAGACTTTACTCAATTAAGAGTCCAATTTAAAGATATATCGAGGTGCATGACTAAGATGTGTGTTTCTCTAGCACTGAGAATGTGGTGAAACAAAAGTGCTAGTTAATACCAGAACTTGGGTGCTTAGATAAACCAAACAGTAAAAATTACACAACACACAACCACTAATGTCTAAACCACTGGCAACAAAAGTGAGTACACCCCTAAGTGACAATGTCCAAATTGGGCCCAAGTAGCTGTTCTCCCTCCCTGGTGTCATGAGACCTGTTAGTGTCACAAGTCTCAGGTGTGAAGGGGGAGCAGGTGTTATCACTCCCACTCTCAGACTGGTCACTGGAAGTTCCACATGGCACTTAAGGGTAATGAACTATCCGAGGATCTGAAAAAAATGAATTGTTGCTCTACGTAAAGATGGCCTAGGCTATAAGAAGATTGCCAAAAGCCTGAAATTGAGCTGCAGCATGGTGGCCAAGACCATACAGAGATTTAACAGGACAGGTTCCACTCAGAACAAGCCTCGACATGGTCAACCAAAGAAGATGAGTGCCTGTAACTGGCGTTGTATCCAGAAGTTGGGTTTGGCAAATAGACATGAGTGCTGCCAACACTGCTGCAGAGGCTGAAGGGGTGGGGTGGGGGGTCAGCCTGTCAGTGCTCAGACCATATGCCGCACACTGCATCAAATTGGTCTCCACGGCTGTCATCCCAGAAGGAAGCCTCTTCTAAAGATGATGCACAAGAAAGCCCACATATGGTTTGCTGCAGACAAGGAGACTAAGGACATGGATTTCTGGAACCATGTCCTGTGGTCTGGTGACACCAAGATAAACCTACTTGGTTCACATGGTGTCAAGCATGTGTGGCAGCAACCAGGTGAGGAGTACAAAGACAAGTGTGTTGTGCTTACAGTGAAGCATGGTGGTGGGAGTGTCATGGTCTGGAGCTGCATGAGTTCAGCTGGCACTGGGAATCTACAGTTCATTGAGGGAACCATGAATGCCAACATGTACTGTGACATACTGAAGCAAAGCATGATTCTCTCCCTTTGGAGACTGGGCCACAGGGTAGTATTCCAACATAATGACCCCAAATGCACCTCCCAAATGACTCTTGCTAAAGAAGCTGAGGGTAAAGGTGATGGACTGGCCAAGCATGTCTCCAGACCTAAACCTTATTGAGTACATGTGTGGCATCCTGAAATGGAAGGTGGAGGTGTGTAAGGTCTCTAACATTCACCAGCTGTGTGATGTTGTCATGGAGAAGAAGAATCCAGTTGTACCCTGTGAAGCTCTGGTGAACTCTACGCCCAGGGGGGTTAAGGCAGTGCTGGAAAATAATGGTGGCCACACAAAATATTGACAATTTGCGCTCAGTTTGGACATTGTCACTTAGGGGTGTACTCACTTTTGTTGCCAGCGGTTTAGACATTAATGGCTGTGTGATGCGTTATTTTGAGAGGACCACACATTTACACTGTTATCCAAACTGTATACTCACTGCTTTACATTGTAGCCAAGTGTCATTTACTCAGTGTTGTCCCATGAAAAGATATACTAAAATATTTATGTAATATGAGGGGGTGTGCTGTAGCTTTGAAAGAGAATTACACAAATTTGTTGGTAATGAAGCTATCAATGCCTGTTAGAATAGTTATACGCCACCTCTAGCATCAGAAGCAACATGCCTCTAAATATCAGTTGCAGGGAAAAAAAAACATAACTGGAAAGGTGCTACTGTGCTCACCCCCTTGTGATCTTCCCATGAGCATCTGGCTAGTCCACATACGGACAGAATGGTAAGAATGCCTAAGCCTTTGGTCTGATCCAGGACTGCTATTACGCTGAAATCCCAACAGTGTCAGTTTCTTAAACTCTCATGGTTTCCTCTTGTCTTCCCAAAATCTATCATGGAAAAGATATATTTTAACAGGCCTCTCCTACTCTGGTACTTTTAATCCAATGTCTGGCTTGTTCCACTTTTCTTTTAATGATTTCATATTATACAGTACAGGATGAGCCTTGCCAACTGAGTTCTTCTAGACTATGCATAATAGGCTGCAAAAAGGGCAGGCGGGCAAGAGAAAATGATGGGGATTTTTAATCTTTGTACCTGGTTTTGACTGCAGAAGAAGGATCTACTGCCTCCTTAATGTTTTCTTCTACTGCATGGAGAAGGGGGCCAACAGACATCTGAAGATTCTCCCTACAGGAGAGAGAAAAACAAGGTTGAATTCTTTTTTTCCTTTCTTTTCTTTGCAAGGCTTCAACTTTCCCCATTGCAACATCTTTGAACAGTTCCACATAACTGGCTTAACACTTTTCAGGGAAACTGGAGTTGATCTAAAAGTAAAAGGGATTAGGTACTAACAGCAGCATACACTACTAGCCAATACAAGCCGACAGTGTTTTACATCAATAGTGAAGGAATCCTTTCTGGCACAAGCATCTGCATATCATTCCTTTTCACTTAGCACTTTGCCTTGCCAACCCCAGGTTTCCTCACCTTAAATTGCATTTTGTTATATAAAGGAGCAAGTCCACAGCTCTCTTCTCAATTGTTTGCTGAAAATGCTTTAGAACAGGGCAGCTTGGTAGACCATGGGCCTGAAAAAAAACGTAAAGTGAAAAATAAACCAACAAGCCACTAGAGCCCATGATGTGGCAATGGAAAGCAGACAACGGCCCAAGATGAGCCATGGATGACCCACATACGCATTTATTACTTAGATGCCTTGAAGTCAGTATGTAATCAGAACTTAGATGTCTGTTGTTGGGTTTTTTTTTAAGTTACATTTGGGCAGCTTGAGTCAGATGTTTCTGGCATACATGAGCCCTGCCCGGAACAGTTCATGGTAAGGGATCATGGAAACTGCAGTTCAAGAGCATCTGTAGGGCCAAAGCTGTGTTAAGAGAGGAATGTTTCATATCCTTCTCTAAATCTCTAGAGTAAGACTGCCCCCTGGCCCTCAGTATGAACAGACTTCTGCTAGCATTTCCATAGCTGGAACAGGAGGTGCTTAGAACCTGCTTAATGATGATCTTTCAGTAGAGAGTAATTGGACACATTTCCCAACAGATGAAGTCGGGATAGGGCATATCTTGTATGAATCCATTGTATGGTGTGCTGTGAGACGCGTTTTTGAACTATGTGGAATGGAACCTTGAGTTCCTTGAATCTTCAATGAAAAGGTCAGGAACAGCAAGCAATCCTCCTTGAGAGAAAGCTCACTCAGTACTGCTTATTTTCCTATGCACTGCACAGATCAAGAAAGTGCTCCATTTATTCTAGGAAGCATTTTCCGTTTATTTAGGGTGGCAGAAAGATTCCCTGGGCCTGGTCAACATCCCACATGAATGTGATGTTGTGTCCATTACTTGCAAAGCACAGGTTCTTCGTCAGGTCAATCAACAAGGACTGAAACAGGGCTTTGAGTGTGGTAAGTTAGAAAGCCACAGAAATATCCTTTCATCTCTTGAGTTTCTGAGAAATACTAGGTTTAAATGCAGTTTACCGATTGATATTGTAAGTGATTTATTACGCTACAGATCTAAATTCAGTTGCTAGTCCTAAATCACATAATGAATGGGCTAATCACCACTGAATCCTATTCATTCGCATGGCTCAATCTAGTTGGGACTCTTGACTGGATCCATGCTTTGCTATTGCTTCTATTTCTACAGCTGTCGCCTCTAAATCTTCCAAAACACAAACTTTCCCCTGTGTGGAGTAAAACATGCAGTAACTTGGGGGACAGGGAGGCAAAGGTGCACTCTGAATAAGCTCCAGAACTGGGCCCACAGAAATTGCTGGTATCATTGGGGTACATAATAGTTGGCAGAATTTGCAAGAGATAGACTTTAAAACCTAAAAGAGGCAATAGTGGAAGAGATCAAAGGAGAGATATCGATGGATGGCAATAGAGACATGAGAATGTGGTAAGAGTGGAAACTTTAAAAGCTGGCTATGATTGCACATAAGGGTTAAAGGGTTAAGCCTAAGGCCTCATAGAAGATCTGAGGGTTCTGAAGGGTGCTGTTCATATACTGCCCCACAGCACTTAAAGCACTCCCTAGCAGTCTATTATGCATGCTACACATTGCCCCCCCTCCAACAAGTCGTGTACAGTGGACCCTCTACTTACGGAATTAATCCGTATTGGAATGGTGGCTGCAGGTCGAAAATTCTGTAGGTCGAGTCTCCATTGACCTACAATGCATTGAAAACCGATTAATCCGTAACCGGCCGTTTTTGTTCCATTTTGTTTTTTTTCTGGTCTGTAAGTCGATCCTCTGGCTGCAAGTCGAACCTAAATTTTGCAGCCAGAGAAGTCTGTAACTCGAAAAGTCTGTAAGTCGAGCCGTCTGTAAGTCGAGAGTCCACTCTACTCAATTTACCAACCTCAGAAGGATGAAAGATTGAGTCAACCTTGAACTGACCTCCTGAACTTGTTGGGATCGAATTCAGGTTGTGAGCAGTCTGCAATGCAGTTCTGTAGTTTAACCCCTGTGCCACAAGTCTCCTGAAGAGTGGTGTGAAAGAAGAAAGCTGGTTCCCTTACTTGTCCAAATTGCCTTGGTCATCTTTCTACTATTACGAGGGAAGTTCAGTTTGATTGTTTAATCATTATTTGCTTCTTCTGCCTTCAGTGCAGCTTCTATCACAGGCCACTAAGTATCTCGTGGATAGTTGAAGAAAGCAGGGACTGTTTTTATGAAGACACAATATTACCTGTTCTGCCAAGATGTTGTCAAAAAGGAGAAAGAAGTCCACTGCTTTCTGGTTGGCAATGCCCATCTTTTCTTTAATTGTATTCAGATCCTCAGAGATATCTGGCTGCAAATGAGCACTGTGCAACCCGTCTCTGTCAAGGAAAAGAATATTGTTTTGGCCTCAGTTTCATAGGGGGGTTTTCCAGAGAAAGTTCAGGCTTGATTTGCTCCAGGACCCACTTGTTCGTCTTTCTGACTCTCCATGGTATCTGCAAAGCTCCCCTCCAACACCAAATTTCAAACAAAACAATTTTTCCTATCAGTTTTCTTTACTGTTTAGCTTTCATGTCCATATATGGTGATTGAGAATACAAGATGGTGGATGGTCTTGGTCTCTAGTAACACCTCCCCATTAAGATGATCTTATCTTAATACCTGGCATTTCTCATAAACACCTTTGACAAATAACCTTAAAAGGATGTCACTATAAATATTCTTAAGGAAATAAGTTCAATGACTTTATTATTATGTGCCATCAAGTCAGAACCAACTTATACCAGCTCTAATAAGTAAGGTAAGTGAGATATTTGAGGAGTGGTTTTACCAGTTCCAGACCCCCAATGAACTTTCATGGTTGAGTGGGAATTCGAACCCAGGCCTCCTGAGCCCTATTTTGGCACTCTATCCACTACACAACACTAGGTATTCCCAGTTTTTTAAAAGCTTATTGTATTGGCTCATCTCCCCCAGGTTTACCATGCAAACATACAATACATATTTGTCTGAGTTAACTTGGCACTGTGCAGCATTTTACCCAGCCACCACGACAGTCAATCACTGTTTCAGATAGTCTTCTCTATTTTAATCTATTTTTTTATCCTGCAGTGGAAGGAGGTTGGACTCAGTGTCATCTGAGGTTCCTTTCAGTTCTACAATCCTATCATTCTTTTCTGTCATCTACAATGAGCATTACTTTTTTGTGAAAAAGTGGGGCATAAATGTGAGAGAAATTTACATATATATTTATGTTGCAAATATATATATCTATGTATTTCTATCACATTTACGCACACTATCCATCTTCATTCATATATATATGAATGAATGAATGTGGCAGGAATGAAACAGTTTTCAAAGTTTCCCAGAACTACAGTTATATTACCACTATTGTCTAAACAGACAATAAGTAAAATATTGAAGCTATATAAGGTAGGCAACTGTTGCTCCCTTTCTTGTTCCTGTTTTCAACAGCAGCAATTTTGGGGATATAGTAAAATGTTGTGTAAGCATTCTTTAAAGCTTGCTGCAGCTTCACTGGCCCAATATGAAAGTCACCTCATCATAATGGAGAAGGACAAAGCAGGTAACAATCTTGGGCCTATTTCAACCACTGAAATGTTGCTGCAACAATTAAAGCATCCAAGAGAAGGCAAACCTCACCCCAAAAGTGTAGTGAACTATTTCCAGAAAAGCACAGTTAAAAAAACAACAACAATTCAGTGGCACATACTGCCTTTGATAATCAACTGGCCTTATAAAAGATTTTGCTGTTTTTCTTTTTCAAGGTCCTGCTCAATGGGTTCCAACATTTCCCTGCACTTAACAGGGAATCTGCCATGCCTTCAGAAACACTGTGGTAACTTACCGGTTCATCTGTTTCAGTCGCTGGCAGTTCATCGGATTGGGATAAAGGATTTCAGATTGGGCTTCATCTGTAACTATGGTAATAGGTCCTGGATGATAGATTAAAAAATGAATCATTCTAATACACTTTGAATTAATGATTTAAGCCTTAAGATGTTAGAATTAATTCTAACACATCCTGCATTTCATACCAATTTAATATCATTTATAACCTTAGAGCCACATATTGGATTTTAGGTGTTAGGACAACCTCTTACCCATCTCTAGCATCATCTGTGCAAAGCTCATTAGGGAACTTCCTCTTCACTTAAAGGCATGCAAAGCTTTCTTTCAATTACATTTCTGCTCCCAGCCATCATTAGATCATGCCTACAAACTAATAAGGCAAAGGCCCACTGTGCCAAATGCTAAGTAAAATAAGCTAGTTATTAACATGTGCCTTCAGATAGTTCCTGGTGATATATTCAACTCTGTTTCCATATAGTGACTCATACCATATGATTCTCTTGCTTATAAATTAATTTACAGCACAGCAAGCTATTATCCTAATGAAAACAGTTAACAACCACCATTATAAATACTTGGGTTTCTAAAACCAGACTGAAGCGCAGATGATTCTTCTTTTCCTAATGGTTCCCTGCAATCAGGTTTTGTTAAGCTCAGGCACAACAATACCAGCTTTGCAAGAAATTTGAGTTCTGTACAAATTTCCCTTTTGAAAGCAGTATACATACACATAACAGATTTCTGAATTCCAGTATTGTACTTTTAAACATTTCTTTTGTCCCCCTTTAATTCTTCTGTATCTCTCTCTCTCTCTCTCTCTCTCTCTCTCTCTGTGTGTGTCTGTGTGTGTGTATATATATAAAATTCTGGATTTTCTCATGACTGCCCGCTAATTGCTCTTTTCCTCTTTTGTTTCCTGTAAACCCCTAATCCTTTCTTCTTGCATTAATTTTCCCCTTCAGTTTTTCCCCAAGCCTGGCCAGATGCAGTGAGAATTGGTACAAGAAAGGTGCTGCTTGTAGGATGAACAAGGCCTGACTCAGACATTCATGTCTGCTTGCTCTGCCTGAGCATAGAGTTCACAGGACAGCTGTTTGCACTGCCAGAAGTTCATGAAGCAGGCATGCCACAACAGGTCAACATGCAGGGGGCAGAGGCCTATAAATGCATGGTTCCCTGCATGTTGCTGAACTGCAGCTTCCAGCCCCCTCAGTCAACACAGCTAATGATGAACAATGCAGGGACTTGCCATGAGAAACTAGAAAGTGCCATAATTAACACAGCAATGTTTTATTTGTTACACTAATGTCCCTCTTCTCATGAGCTCACTCATTGATTTTTCATGGCTAAGATGGAGATTTTAACACAGGTCTCCAGAAGCCTTGTGCATCTTTGTTCTTTCAAGAACTAAGACTGAAGTCCAGGGTCATTCTAAGTCAGCTAATTTGATTGCATGCATGAACCTGCCCCTCACTGGTGCCCTTCAGAAGTTTCAGACTTCATTTCTCATAACCCCTCACCATGAGATGATTCAGAGTTCAAGACAGCCACAGGCCACCAGATTGGGGAAAGTGTATGTACCCAGTTAAAATGGCCCACATCATTATCACCACCAGCCATGCTTCTGTCTCCTGGAGCTGATGCAAATTCCGTGGCACATTCCTGTGACCACGTACTATCTAGAAAGCAGGTTCCTACTATGGATCTGTGCAGGCACAGTATTTGTGTGTGTGACTATACAGAGGGGCACTTGAAGAATTAAAATTGCAGCTGAGTATTTCTCTCTTCTTGCCCATTTTCTGAAATCAATTTTTTTTTTTGTTATTTCAACACAAGATTGAGACTTGAAAAATTTTTGTTTTGTTTTGTTATTTCAACACAAGATTGAGACTTGAAGACTGTAACTTACTCAAGCAAAAAATATTTCTATGCCAATACAGCTGCTTCCTTGGGAGTCATAGCAGGGGGACCGAGTGCTCCTGCACCTACAGTCCCATGTTAATTGCAAAATTACTGTTCTTCCCATTTACAGTGTAAATATAGTCCAGGAATGGGCCATACACAATCTATACCTCTGCATGATTACTTGTGCCCTCCTGTCATACATAATTCAGTAGCGCTGTCATTAAAATAAAAATTAAAACTAGACACGTGGGAACTGTGAACATTGCATGAAAGCTGATGCAGGATTTTTTTAAAGTACCACCATTGCTATGGGTCCATGAGGGTCAGTCAGATTGAAATTTGGCCCTGGACCCACCCCAGTATAATCTAACCGAATGCTCCAGAACATGGAATGACAGGGATGAGCAAAAGGAAGATTATCTTGAAAGAGTACTGTGGCATAAGGATGTGAGGTAACATAAGCTAGGACTGAGAAAAGAGCAATGATATGCTCCCCTTCATTGCTAACCTTCTTTCTGCTGTTGGAACAGCCCAGCTAGCAAACATCGTGTGGACTCCAGATTCCGAACAATATTAGAGGAACGGATGCTGAAAAACAGAAGGTAGCCAATGAAATGGAGCAAAGAGATGACTACTGCTTTATGTGGCACCTGACCAGTGATAGCTGTGAGTAGTTCACCACTCAGAGGAACTGTCGTCAGCTCTAAGTACCAGCTGTTCCTACCAAACTCTATAACAATCCTCAGTTCGGTAGATAGTTACTTGATGGCCACTTCTCTGCACTAAGGTTTCTTAGCAAAAAAGAAAGAAAAAAGAAAAAAGCATTCTCTGGGAGGGGCCAATTAAACATACCTTCAATTCATCATCTGAAGCCCTACTCAAGGGAGCGACAGAGCATTTTCAGTGGTGATACTCCATCTGTGGAATGCCCTCCCCAAAGATGCCTGCCTGGTATCTACATCAGGGACTTTTCTGTAGTAAGTGAAGGTCTTTTGTTTCTCACAGGCATTTTAAGAACAACTTTCAGTGCTTTTAGATCTTAGCATTCTTCTATTTTTTTAATGGTTTTAATATGCTTTGACGTGCTACAGTATTACTCCTACTGTTTTTATTTTGTTTTCATTACATACTCTCTCCATTCTTTCTTTGTTTATATATCTAAAGTGTAAGTAAGAAAGAAAAAAGCAAATAAATCCTGGTAAAGCGATCTGCTAAGGTTTATGTGATGGAGGGCAGAGGCAAATGATAGTCAAAGAGAAGAAATAACAGTAACAAAGAAAACTGCTAAGTTAAAAGACTCACAAGACCTCTGACGGTTTAAATGCAGGTGAGAGGAAGCTGGTCTCCTCAATGTAATGTCTCCTTAGCCGTTTCCCCAGTGTAAACATCTGCTGCATGCCTATTTTTGTAAGTTGCCCTGCATATACACCACCCTGGAGACAAAAAAATGGGCAATTGAAAACTGCTAAAAGATGACAAGCAAATAAAATGTTTTGGAAGAAAAATATGTTTGTTTTACCTTCAGTGTAATTTTTCTGTAGTTTTCTTCATAAGGGGAAGGAGGCTGTGGCCCGCCATTCAGATCAGTAACTGTGTAGTCAAACTGAGTTTCAGCAGGAGTTTCCAAGAGAGCAGGGTCCCACTCCACCTATTTCAACAAGGGGAGAGTGTTTGATTAAGAAACCAGAAGTTTTAAATGGTTAGAACAAGGTGAACACATGGCAGGCCTTCCAGATGTTCGACTGCCACTCCCATCATTGTCAGCTAGCTTGGGCAGATGTTCCAAAACATCTGGTGGGCCACAAGTTTTCAAACCTGAACTACAAAAATATTAATCTAATCTTATGAAGAAATGTGGTGGTCTCAAGCATGGCAAATGAGTGTTCATAGTGTGAGCTGCTTGAAGACAGAGAAAAATAACATGACAACTTTCATAATCTGTATATTTCAGGGCTGCCTTTTGAAATGTACAAACATGTGGCTGCAGGAAGTGCTGCAGAACAACTTTGGTATGGCTGCCAGAAATTGTCTGTGTTTCAATGCTATGCTCAGGTATTCCGCTTCTTAAAGAAGCAAAAGTGATGAGTCAAAATGCTCCCACTAGCTATAAAGTCACAAAAGCAAGGCTTGACAACTTGTGTTTTGCCCAGCATCCTGTGTGTCAAACAATTACCCCTAGAAATGCTGCAACACATCAATTTAATACAGAGAATTCTTCCAAGTGATGGCAATTCTCACGTTGTTTACAAACACACTTGCATTTCCTTCCACTTTGGACAGTATATTAAGTTTGTTTATCATCAGATTTCACCATAAGAAAGAGGCTCCCTTTACAGCCCGGGAGAGAACCATGTTCCTGGATCAAGGTACCTCTGAAAATAACCATTAATTCCAGGCCAGTTACAAAATCAAGAATAAATCACATAGATGTTCTGTTATGATTCATGAACCGAGCAAGCAGAAATTATAGTGCCTCATTACTGTCACTTGTTCATTTTTTTATCTATTTTAATGACTGATTCTTTGTCTGGTCAAAACAGAACCCAAAACCTAACGGTATAACCAGATGCCCACTGCTATCACACTGCACCATCGACCTTACAGAAAAAAGTGAGACTGTTAATGCAGATCAGCAATGTACAGGCACCTGCTGTATCCTGTAAATCTGTGGTTCCCAATCTTGGGTCTCAAGACGTACTTTGACTGCATCTCCTAGAAGCACAGCTAATGGCGAAGGATTCTGGGACTTACAGTCCAAGAATGTCTGGGAAACCAAGGTTGGGTACCACTGCTGTAACTGGTCATAAAAGTTCTCTTGGGCTTAGTTTTTCTTTTTGTTTTTTTGCCATTTAAATTTATTAAAATAACAATGACAATATTAATATTAATCAATAAATAAATTCATATATTTGTATACCCTTCTTCCCTCCCCTATCCCCTTCTCATCCCCTGCATCAGAGTCATATCCAAAATCTCATGAAAAGGCTTTCCTGAGAAAATTATAATAGTCCAAATAATGTTATAAAGATCAGTAAATCCCATATGCTTTGGGGAGTCACTTATTACTTATTCTACTCATATAAATAATGAGAGGGTGCCAGTCTGCTGCAACGGAATCCAAGTGATTTATCTCTTTATCTACATGCAGTTTGGTGGTTAATTTTCCCTAGAGTGCTATCTGCCCCACTCTAGCGTACCCTGCTGTGACTGACACTCCCTGCATACCTTTCCACTATTTAACTGTAGCCTGTCTTGCAGCTACTAGAAGATGGCCTATTAGGTGTTTATGTGAACTTAACTCATCCTCCCCTAACAAAAGGGTAAGAAATGCTACTTCCAGAGCTTTAGTGATGGACTGATTTGTAACTGTATTTATCCATTAAACACCTCTTCCCAAAACCTGGTCTACTTTTTTGCAAAGCCACCAAAGGTGCTGAAATGCCTCTCCAACACATATCTGGCACTGCAGGGTTGATATGTGAGAGCTGAAGTGGGGCTGGATACAATTTTTAGAGTATTTTCAAAGCAGTCTCCCAAGCACTAGTAGAAACCCCTTTATATGGAAATGTTGTGAACATCTCCAACCATTTCTACTGATTAATTTTAATCTGTTCATGTGCCCACAACTCATGCAGCCCCGTTGAAGAGCCCAGATCTGCCTCAATCAACAACAAATACAATGTTGGTACTGCTGCTTTGTTTATTTCAGTTAGAGCAGTGATTCACACTTTTAGATAACACAAGTGTTCTTGGACTGCAACTCCCAGAAGCCTTCACCACTAGCTGTGCTGGCCAGGGGTTTTCTGGGAGTTGCAGTCCAAGAATAAGGTTGGGAACCACTGAGCTAGGGAATGATAAAGTTGATACGCTTTGTAATATGCGCACAGCAATGGCTACCCCAGCCCCTTTTGCTGATGGAATGGTAATGAACTGACTTAGCTATTCTAGGGTCTTTCCTATTCAAGATAAAACTTTGATTCCCTTCTGCCAAATTTTAAATGTGGCACCCTGAATTTTTAAAGGTAGGATATCAAAAGGATAAGTGAACTTGGTTAAAATAATTATCTTAACTGAAGCAGTATGGCTTGATAATGATAGCCTATATTTATTTCATTTTTCAATATCTAGTTTGGATTTTTTTTTAAAAAAAAACCCACACAGTTAGATCTGAGAAGCTTGGTGAGCTTTTTAGCTATGAAGACTCCTAAATATTTAAACCTGTGAGATATTAAAATTTGTGGTGATGGGAGTATACTGAAGAGCGTTACAGCAGTTTCCTAAAATTTACTTGGAGTCTTGCAATCTCAGAGAATTCCTTTTAATATGAGGGATTGTTTCTACAGGATTTATTCCATCACTATTGCATCATTAGCATATAAACTGATGACATGAGTTGAATTCTTAATATGCATTTGCCCTTATATATGAAGCAAACAATTCTGTCACAAAAGTGAATAGCCAGAGTAAGAGAGGGCACTCCCTATGAAGTCCCTCTTTAGGCCTGAAACTCTTCAAACCCCTGGTTTATCCAAAGCCTAGAATGCATCATGAAATAAATTGGATTTAATACTGATGTAAATTTAAGGCTAAATTTATAACACCCAAAGAATTATGTAGAAATTCCCAACTGACACAATCAAAAGGCTTTATAGAAATCCAGAGCCAGTAGGGTTTTTTGTTGTTGTAGGGTGTTTTTTTTTTTGCTATAATGCATTACTCTTCTGATTGGCCCTATATTTATTTTTGCACGTTCCTCTTGAAATTATAGGATGGCTGTACAAAACCTAAGTAAATGAATTCTTCACGGCGTATATCAAGACTATAGGCACATTAACATTCATAAAATGAGATCTCAGCTTTCAAAAATAATGAAAAAGAAGGTATTAAATAATTTGTTTCTAAAACAAGAGCAAGGGTGTTAAAGATAGAACTTTTCAGATGTCATTTATTCACAGGATCACAAGAAACAACCTGATAGCACTAAACCTAAATGGACCAATAATTAAAGTAGATCCTCATTGACCCATATAGCACATATGACCTTCCAGGGACGGAAATTAGTAGGAACTTAGGCAGTAGTTGTCAGTGCTGGTATCTGGGTTGTTGCAGCACACAACTGAGAACAGAAGATATTTCTTTGGAAAATATTGTATCAACGTGCTGTGTAAGCTGTAATCAAATAACAATACAGAATTACACGGAGTCCCCTTCCTTAACTCTACCAATAGTCTGTGTCCTCCTAGCTAAATGCAAACTACATAGTTGTTTCCATCATCTGTACACTTTAGTAGAGAATTTATAGTGAACTTTATCAGCATTCTAAGGTCAAAGGTAAGATAGTCATTTTTGTACTTTGAACTTTGTAAAGGTGTACAAATCCAGAAGTACAAGCTGGGTTTCAAAGGGACAGAGGAACTAGAGACCAAATTGCTAACATGCGCTGGATTATGGAGAAAGCCAGAGAGTTAAAAAAAACTACTTCTGCTTCATTGACTACACAAAAGCCTTTGACTGTGTGGACCACAGCAAACTATGGCAAGTCCTTAAAGAAAGGGGAGTGCCAGACCACCTTATCTATCTCTTGAGAAATTTATATGTGGGACAGGAAGCAACAGTTAGAACTGGATATGTAACAACTGATTGGTTCGAAATTGGGAAAGGCTGTATATTGTCTCCCTGCTTATTTAACATATATGCAGAATACATCATGCAAAAGGCTGGACTAGATCAGTGGTTCTTAACCTTTTTGAAAGAAACGCCCCCTTGAGCCATTGAGGAAGTTATCATCGCCCCCCTCCCTGAGGTGATGATATCTTACCTACCTACCTACCTACCTACCCACCCACCTACCTACCTAGTCTCCCTCCCCACCCGGGTGCGAGGCAGCGCTTCACGGGGTGAGGATGAGGACCCAAGAGACACTTTCCTTCCACCTGATCCACACTCAATGCTCCCCTAAAGGAGAAAGGCGAGACGTGGCATGTAGAAAGACCTGGATCATCTGGTGGTAGCGGCAGCACCGGATCTACTGCCAGCACTGCGGCTGCAGTTGCCTTCACAGGTTTGGCTTGCTCCAGCGCCCCCCTACCGCCCCCCTTCTGTTCTTTCACCCCCACACCGCCCCTTTTCATTCTACCGCCCCCCTGAAAAATGAAATCGCACCCTGGGGGGCATTATTGCCCACGTTAATGGATAGTCAAAGCTATTGTTTTCCCTGTAGTGATGTATGGAAGTGAGATCTGGACCATAAAGAAAACTGACCACCAAAGAGTTGATGCCTTTGAATTGTGGTGCTGGAGAAGGCTCTTGAGAGTCCCCTGGACTGCAAGGAGAACAAACCAATCCGTTTTGAAAGAAATCAACCCTGAGTGCTCACTGGAAGGACAGATCTTGAAGCTGAGGCTCTAATACTTTGGCCATCTCATGAGAAGAGAAGACTCCCTGGAAAAGACCCTGATGTTGGGAAAGTGTGAAGGCAAGAGGAGAAGGGGACGACAGAGGAGGAGATGGTTGGACAGTGTCATTGAAGCTACCAACATGAATTTGATCAAACTCCAGGAGGCAGTGGAAGACAGGAGGGCTTGGTGTGCTCTGGTCCATGGGGTCACAAAGAGTCGGACATGACTTAATGACTAAAAAACAAAAGGTGGAAGGCAGTCGTCATAAGAACAAAGCAATCGATCTCATGGTTCCACACACACACCCATATGTTATCACTGGGGTTATCCTGAACAAACAATGGAGGTGGAGCACTACCACCATATATTCCCATGAGTGTTAATTCATATACTGTATACATCACTGTAATTCAGTGGGTTTATTCTCAGGTTAGTAGATACACTATTGCTACCTTCTCTTTTCTCCAATGTGCAACTGCTATGCCTAAGTGCTTTCACCTCAGCTCAAAAATTGCTACACCTTTAAAAGCTGTAAAAGGCTGGACTTGACAATCCATAGGGATCCTTCCATCCCTGCATTTCTAAGATAGTGATGATTAACTATTGGCAGCAGGAAGAATTGCGAAAACCTACATGTTCCTACATGAACTTAGTAGGCAACTGTAAAATATAGTCTCTCATACAGCCTGTTACCCCACTGGGAATTCGTTTTTCAGACATGGGCCAACATACTTTTGGTGACTTATATGCATGCAGTCTAAATTGTGTAACACACCACAGTAGATAGCTACTAACTAACAAGATGCACACCTATTAATCTAACCTATACCTTGCCAGTTAGCAGCAATGCATCACGTTCAGTTATGTAATTAAACTATGCACATGTAAAATCACAGCATGATTATGGTCCATGTGTTAAAAATTAAGATTCTTTGTACACAATGATGATGATGATAACCACAATCTATAGGGCTCTTACTGAAAGACTGCGGAGACAATGTATCAGAGGCAGGGAGAAAACTTACTGCAAGGATCCCCACCCTGAGGCTCTCTAGACGTTATTGGACTTCACCTCCCAGAAGCCACACCCAGCATGGCCAACAGCCAGGGATTCTGGGACTTGTAGTCCGACAACTTCTGGAGACAGGAAAGCCTGGTAGGATCCCTTCGGGTTTATCACCCTCTCCAGCTCCCCGCTTCCCAATAACGCCAGGAGTGTTGGGCGATGTTACGGTCCTCCGTACCCCGAAGGGAAAGCTCGCCCCAGCATCCCCCTTACCTGCTCCACGTCTGGGATCGGCCTGAGAGGAGTGCGCGCTCCGTGCCGAAAGAGGACCTGGACCAGTTTCAGCTCCGGCCGGTCACTGCTCTTGACGTCGCCGCCGCCGGCGCCTCCTTCCCCAGCCCGGCTTCTGCTCCTCCTCGGTTCGGCCAGGACTCGCCCCTTGTCGTGCAAGCAGTAAGCGAGAGTACCCACGATTCCTACTCGAGCCCACAAAGACATCCTCCAAAGGGATCCGCTAAAGAGCGCAGTCCGTCGCAGAAAGGGATAGAAGCGAGAGGGAGTCCCGTTGCAAAAAAGTCCCCAAGCGCCCCCCCCAAAAAAAGAAAAAGAAAAAGAAACGGGAGTCCCGTTGCAAAAAAAGTCCCCAAGCGCCCCCCCAAAAAAGAGAAAGAAAGAAAAAGCGGACGTGGGCACCTTCGAGCAAGTCTCGGTTGCAACGCGCGGTCTTAAATGAAGCCGCTTTCAAGGGCTCCCTCTGCTTAGAAGCCCTAGCCCCGGCCGCAGAAGAACAGGTGGCGCTTCTTCCTGCAAATTCAGACCGTTCCAGGTGAGACCTGGTCCTCTCCGCTCGGTCTGCTCCCCGGGGGGAATCCCGGACCTAGCTGGGGCACAGAGGGGTCATGGGAAATGAAGTTTCTCGCAGTTCGCTCTTCATCCTAGAAGGGCAGCTGAAAGACTTCAACTCCCGGAGGACATTGCGGGGCGGTTCTTCCTTAGCTTCATTCGGTCACGTGTATGGCGTGGGAAAAGAGGCGCTAACGCCTCTACGCTTCATTAGGGAAACCGCTGGCAGCTGATTTCCCCGGGGGGAGGGGGGAAGAGGGCGGTGTTCGGCTACGCGAGAGGCTTTCGAGCTTGCTGTCTATCTAATGGACGTGCCAGTCGCTGATCTCTGTAATAAGCAGTCTTGCTTTCGGTGGTTATAGGCTTTTCGGGTTGTTTGGCCGTGTTGTGGAGACGGCCCGAAAATCCTACAACCACCATCGGATGCCGGCCCTGAAAGCCTTCGAGAATACAGTCTTGCTTTCGTTAAAGAGAGTCAGTTATAAACAAGTAGTATGCATTTAAACTTTTGCCGAAGCCTGACAGACTTGTGAGGTAAATTGGCCATCTCTGCTCCTTGACCTCATTGCACCCGTGAGGTCAAGGCGGAGAGTAACTTGCAGTTTGCAGCGTCCGGGGATTGAGAAGACCCGTGAATGCATAGCTGCCCCTTCAGTAAATCAGGTTGTGAGTGCCTCCCTCCTCTGTACCCTAAAGTAGGAGACCCCACAGAAGTTTCACCTCAAAGGTGGGTGAAGAGGCAAACATAATAGGGTTTGTGTCACTTGCTCTGTGAAGGAGAGAAAAACTCTTTTGTCAGTTTGACTTTTTAAATCTAGTATCCAGGCACTCCCCTGTGTGTTACCTTCCAGTTTGTGAAGGTGGTTTCACCCCTTAGTTTGCTGAAAAGCGTTAGGAAAATGCACAAATTACTAGAGGAAATGGGGAAGGTGAGGATAAACTTTCTTCGGCCTGCCACTCCTCCCTCTCTTAAGGAAAATGAGCTCACCCAGGTAAGGATTAGGCACACTTTTAAGACTGGTGACCCCCCTCCCCAGAAAACACTTCACAACCTCATTGGGGTTGCGACCTCTAGGTTGGGAACCTGCTCCATCAAGATGATGACTCCCAGGAAGGACTGCATCAGCTTTTCTCTTGCCCGCCCCTCCTTTCTCTTCTCTTTTTTTAAATTAATAGCAGGAAGCAAAGGCCTAAGAACATTATGCAGCCTCAGAGGTAGGTCCTGCTCTAGGTGAGCAAAATGCAGGTTTGTGTTGGTGGACTGAAACAGGATTGTGTTGAAACCAGGAGCTAGTCTCCTGGAATAGAGAATCAAAGTTTTAATGCTAATAACCTTGATACGAGAGAGAGAGAGCGAGCGCACAAGAGCGAGTTCAAATGGTTGCTGTTTTAGCTAAATAAAAGGCACATGGAAGTCATGCCTCCAAATGTAGGCAAAAACAATTCTGTCATGCAGAGGAAAACCAGGACTTTTATAACATTGGTTACACAAGGGAATGGGAGGAGAAATGGATGATTCATGACCTATTGCCAGAAGGGATGGGATTACAAAGGAATCAGACTTTATCGGAGCGGAAATCACAGAAGGGATAGAATTTTACAACAGGGTAGGTCAATAGGATGGGTTTATAGACAGCAGTTATGGAAATACATGGTTACATTGTTCTGACAGGAAAGCAATTTATTATCTTGCAAAGAAGTTACAAGGTTGGGAGAAAAGGAGGCTTCCAAGGTGATAGGAAAAAGATTATGCAGCAAGGCTGTCCAGGTTCCACAGTTCAATTTGCAGAAGATTGGTCCTGGTATTTGCCTGGGGGAAGAGAGAGAGACAAAACCCAGCCATCCTGCTGGTGGAAGGAGTGACACCTGCTGTGTCTGATTGCTTCTCCAAACTAGATTGGAAAGCGAGATAACCCACCTTGGCAAAGGAAACCTGGCTAGCTGTATTCCTTTATGGCTGGCCAGGTTCCCGAGAGATAACCAACCTTGGCAAAGGAAACCTGGCCAGCCGTATTCCTTTATGGCTGGCCAGGTTCCCGAATCGAGGGAACAAAAAACATGTACATATATGTATAGCTGGCTGTGTCTTATCTCTCTAAACTGCATTCTGTGTCAAAGGCGTGTTCTTCCTGAGTGTTTCATGTAGTGTTTTTTGTGTACATGGTCCCATCAATTCTGCCTGAACCTTGGCAAAGGAAACCTGGCCAGCCGTATTCCTTTATGGCTGGCCAGGTTCCCGAATCGAGGGAACAAAAAACATGTACATATATGTATAGCTGGCTGTGTCTTATCTCTCTAAACTGCATTCTGTGTCAAAGGCGTGTTCTTCCTGAGTGTTTCATGTAGTGTTTTTTGTGTACATGGTCCCATCAATTCTGCCTGGAGGATTCTGGGAGCTGGAATCCCCCTGCAAAACAGACAAACAAAATCCAAACCCAAAAAAACCTCACCCCTAATAGGTCATTCACTGTATGTTCTGCTACTCTATTCCAACAGTTAAATCACCATCAGACAGCTACCTCTTGTATATCATACTGATTTTAGTATTATGAAATGAGGTGCAACACTGTTTAGATACAGAAGACTGGAAGTTGGCTGCATAAAGTATACCACATGCTAAGATAGTTCTGGCTACTGCTCATTTCCCCATCATTGTGCCCAACTGTGGACGGAAGACCACTTCTTCTCAATAATGCCCACTGAACTTTATCGATCTATGAAATGCTATATATCAGTGATGGCGAACCTATGGCACGCGTGCCACAGCTGGCACAGAGTGCTCTCTGTGGGCACACGAGCCGTAAGTCACCATAGAGAAATACTTACCCATCCTCCGATCCCGGATTTCGGGACTCCCCGCTGCCGGTGCAGTGGTCCAGTGGAAGGGTGCAATAATGACCATTACCAGTCTAGCCCAATAGGAGATTGGAGGACCAGTAAGTATTTATTTGTTAATACAGCCCATGGGGGCCGTATTAACAAAGCATTAATAGTACTGCAAAGCATCAATTAGTACTGCAAGCATTTAACCCTTACAGTACAGGAGCAGTTGTTTTTTCTAAACTAAAACGTCAGCATTCGGGTCTTAATTGCAATATTGGCACTTTGAAATAAATAAGTTGATTTTGTATTACAGTTTGGGCACTCAGGCTCAAAAAAGGTTCACCATCACTGCACTAGGCACTCAGAGGCAGCCACTGCCCTGAAGCAGCAGATTTTGCAGTATCACTGTTTTTTTGTCATCTCTCAATGGCATGGATCCACGTGAATTTTAATGTACGTTCATCTCCAAATCATTGTCCATCTCCATTTCCTTGGTTGTGGCACTGGTGTGAGAGGTTGGACTGGAAGCTTCTTTGAAGTGGCATATTTTCTCCCCACTTGTACTCTGCAGGTCCATGGAGTGCTCATGGTATTGATGATGAAGGTGAGGCTTGCCAGGTCTCAGAGAATGAGCTGCTGTGCCAGGCAGTGGCTGGGCTCCCCTCAATCTCCAGGGCAGGCAAACAAATGTGAGGAGCAGTGGTGGAAAGGAAGGAGCGAATCTCATTTATTGTTACGTGGTGGCCATAATGTTTGGGTACCCAACTCCTCTAAATGACCTGAGCTTGACTGTGGACTTCTTGAACTCTATCTGTTACAGTACTGTACTAAATTCCTGTTCTGTCTCATTTGGACTCCTCTTTCTGAAGCCAGCACACATTTGCACTCTTGG